CAGACATCTCACTGAAGCAGCAGTTCGCAGAGTGCTGTTCCACTCCACCCACCCTGCGGCAGCCGGCAAGGGTATCCCACTATTGCTGCTGCTGCTGCTGCTGCTGCTGCTGCTGCTGCTGCTGCTGCTGCTATTACCACGACGACTACCACCACCACCACCACCACTACCACCACTGCCATTACCACTATCACTACCGCCACCGTCACCGCCACCGCCACCGCCACCGCCACCCACACTGCGACCGCTACGGCGACTGCGGCTGTGACTGCGACTGCCACTGCTACTGCTACTGCTACGACGACGATCACTGCAGCTGCTGCTACTACTACGACGACGACGACGACGACTACTTTCTACTACTTCTAGCTACTACTGCGGCTACAGTACTACTGGTAATAGCAGCACTGTACGTGCAGGAAGATTTGAGTAATTGCAACACTGCTTTTTGTGCCCGTGCACGCGTGAGGTGCACCATAATCCTTGCAATGGTTGCAAATGGGCTCAGAGGAGCAGCAGAGAGGAGATCTCCAGCTGCAACAAGGCCATGGATCTTACTAGTAAGAATCATCCCTATCTGTTGATTCATGCTCACGTTGCTCCCACTCTCCAAATGCACCTCCGAGAATTAGTGATGCGCAAAGAAGCAGCGCTAAGAAGCGGCTCAGCTTGTCAGGGACCTCACCTGCAAGTGTGTTAGGGGTTTGGTGACTTCAACCTTTATGGGCTTGTGGAGTTCGGGACTTGAGGCTGCAAGATATACGGCTCTACGACTGCGCCTGAAGGCCTTCCGGTGCGAGTATTGGATTTACAAACTATGCCGGCCACGGAAATGAAGCAAGTGAGGTTACAGATTGGATCTGACAAAAGCTGTGAACTCTTGCGGCAGAATGGGAAGTGCGGAGGTTTTAGAGATCAGGATTGACTGTCTGCTACCACAGGTGTGCGCAAAAAATTGAACGCAAAAACGTTTGTGCGTGCATAAACAAATACTAAACTCTCTCTGTGTATCTGTCTGTATATATATATATATACACACAGGCTCTCCATACACGGCACGCATACATGATTCTATATATACATATATATATATATGTATACACCTTTACGTCTCGGCTTGTTTGTTTACATACATATTCGCTGCCTTTCGTGCTCACATAGTGTCTTGTTTACAAATGCTTACTACTTGTATTCTGCCGTAGACCCTGGCGTACGACAAAACGAGATGACATGCCTACTTGCTTCAGCTCATAACAAGCAATTTGGCGTGTGCTTTCCCACCTACTGTGTCTGTATGTGCATTGTTCTGCCTGCCTACCTGCCCATCTTCTCGCCCGCCCGCCCACCCGCCCACTCGCCCGCCTGCTGCCTGCTTGTTGACACGCTGCTGTTACAACATAACGATAATATCTCTATACATTATATGTACATATTGTACACTAGTTTCAGTCAGATAGATGAACTGAGAACACGCGCAAACACAGAGACATACACGTGCTTGTGACGAGCTGCTCATCAGAAGTGTGCGATTCCTCTTGTGGATGTTGCAGCCTGGCCTTCAGCCCGAGACGCTTCTCCCCCGAAGTCCGATCCCCAATCTGGGTTCTGGGACAAACCGGCGTGGCACGAGGATAGAACATCTCGCGCCTTTCTTTGCCTCTACACTTCGAGAAGCATGTGAAGCACAAGTTCAATCTCATCCCAACCCTAGAGGCCTCGGGACCTTGTAGGGATAGGACGTGGCCTGGACGGCATCGGAACCTGGGCTGAGAGCTTGAGATGAGTAACCCCCTTGGCAGTCGGTCTTAGGCAGCAGGTGCAGCGAACTTCCGCGTTGAAAGTTGGGCATTGGCTGGCAACGAGGCGACGAGCCGTTCGAGAATGCACTTGCAGGATTGAGGCCCCGCAACTCTTCACATACCTTCGACGCACCCCCTTCCTGCCGTGCAGGCCTCGAAGTCTCGTTGCTAAACAAACCTCTGAGCTTTACCTTCATAGTTTAGGTTTACGTCCCGGCCACAGGTGTGGTCGTGACTCGGGGGCTGTCAAACCTGTTCTGACGTCACCCAAAGAGGGTCCCATGCATTGTGAAGTCGAAGACCTGCCAGGCCAGGCTCCCGTGCTGTAGTAATTCGCGGGCACCGTGCGCTGGCTACGCTGGCTCGATTCGCTCGTGGAAAACGACCTGTGCAGAACAGAAGAAGATGAAAGCCTGGCCTGTTCTCATTGACATGCAAGTCAAAGTCTGGTGGGCTTACATGGGATGCGTGCGGACATACTCTGTCTTCCATATCACGGCAGCATCTTTACATTTGCGAATCCGATGTGTGTGTACCTGGCATGTCAGGTAAGCGCAGGTGTTCACTGGAGCAATGGATGGCATGGAAACAACTGCACTTGGAACGACGAATCGGTGAGTCAACACGGAAGCATGGCTCGGCCAGCATGCTTCTGGACTATCGAAGGTTCTTGACCGGGCTGCTGGGGATGGGACGACATGGACGTGGCACCACGAAGCCAAGGATGCAAGACCGCCTGGCGGGCACACTTTTGGCCCGACAGTTGTGCAACCGTCCCAGCAATGGCTATACAGCCGAGGGGCGCTTTGCACTTGATCACCGGTGGGAGGTCTGAAGTCTCACAATCACAGCATGATGTATTTTCCTTAGAGCGATGCCACCCACGAAACTCTTTCACACGCTACACCAAGACAGGGGTTTCCGATCTGGATGACCCATCCATAAGACCCCCAAACCCTTGAATAGTACATAGAGTTGTCGCATTCAAGTCCAGGGATGCACCTGCTCAGCTGTGAGCCGATCACCCGGTCGCGCTTGCAGCAGTCGAAGGATGAAATCCTGCAGGATTGGTATGCGCAGTCTACGGAACTGGAGGTTCGCTTCTGAGGAGTGGGTGCGCTACTTGCAAGCTGGAGGAATTTGTTTGGGAAAAAGCCAGTCGCACAGTGACGCAAGGAGCCCCTCTAAGCTAAACGAGGACTTGAAGCGAGATTCTGCGTGGCATGGGCCAGTGACCAAATGGCCCTACTGCATACTGCAAGGCCGTTCTCGCCACTTCCGGCACACCAGGGGCAACCAACCTACAGCCAACGTGCTATGTCCTACGTTCTTTGCAGTGGCTCTTGGATTCATGACGAAATCTGCCCATGGAGCCATGCCTTAGCTGTGTTGCTCCGGCCGTAGGATCAGCATCCAGTTTCAAGACATGCAGCGCAGGCCTGCGCACCAGCAGATACTGCTCTCCAGCGATCGTCGGCGAAGCTGACGTCCCTTTCAACGATCTGCCGGTACCTGGACACAGAGGACATGCCGGAGATCATGGTTCGGCTTGTGGCTGGGCAGCTAAACATCTATATACACAGGATGGTCTGCAAGTGAAATCGAACGGCACTGGCTCTTCAACAAAATGGTAATCTTCTTCACTGCTAAGCATTGAACAGATTTGCAAACTTGCAGAATCAATGATACAATGGATCATGGCTATCTTCTTTGGTTGCCTTCATGAGCAAGTTGCTTCGCTGCTTCTGTCAGCGCAGCTCAGCAGGGCAATCACCGCATCACTATGGAGATTGACGGGGAGCGGGCTTCAACATGATCACATATCTGACTCTGACTGCCCAACCCAGCTCCGCTTCCCAGACCCACAAACCTGAACTTTTCACCGCGAATGATAAAACGAAAGCCAGGACCTGATCCCCCGATTCCGCACGCAGAACTGGCTGTTTCGCTTCTGGGTGCCCGGCAACTTATGAAGCACTGGGTTGAAGAAGGGCAGTGCGCCACTAAGGACCACGAAAGTGATCACCTCGTTCCAAAACCAGGAAGACCCGCAACTTGTTCTGGCAGCTTTTTCACCATCCGGCAAAAGCCTTTAGCTGGGCCCGGTGCCCCCACCGCCCAGATGTCTATTTCGCGGCCATACTCCTTTGAGACATCTTCACATAGAGCATGGGTGAAACAGTTTCAAACTGCACGAAAGGACGTGACTCAGCATTCAAGCAATGAAAAGCTTTTGTAGTGGACATGAATCATCTCGATCCGACAACCGGCTTGTTGATCAAGCTATCCCAGCCAAAGCCTTACCAAGCTGATAATATAGGAAAGGATATACCCCGTTCCCAATACTACACCCTGTGTTACTGTATCAGGATACTGCTCCCGAGATCAATCCTCCTGCTTGATGACCTCAGGTGCAAGGTAGAAATCAGAGCCACAGATTGAGGTCGACCTCGGAAGCACAGTTTCTGCTGGTTCTGCTGGTGTCTTTTGCCACCCGCAGCAATGAGGTTCGGCCATCTTCTCAAGACTTCGAGCCCCGACTCTTAGAACTCTTGCCACCGAGGCCGCGGCCGAGGGAGCCTGCGCGGAAAATCCCGAGAAAGCCTCAGAGCGAGAAAGATCAATTTCTACTCCTCCTGTGCAGGTGCAGGTTTTGAAACAGCAGTTCAGTTGGCACACGATCTCCGGACAGTAGCACGTGCTTAAGGCTTCAAGTGTAAGCCACGGATACCATGCTTATGCCCTGGGAAAAAATGCAGTGCCGAACGTCCTTCCAACGCGCATGCTGACACTCTCTGGTTCGAAAATCTGATGCTACCAAGCATGTACTGTCATATCGTTGACACAAGCATCCAGCGCTTGCGCTGATTTTGCGTTCCCTTCTCATCCCATGCTGTATCTGGCCAGGCCTTTGCATTTCTTGCAGCACACCGAAAGCAGCTCGAGCTGTCTTCTACTCAACACCAGTCATGGCAACCCCCTCGAACTAACTAGCCTCCAACTTTGCTGAACTTCTTAAGACAGTGCGGAGTGTCTCTCTCACATCCACAAAGCCAGGAGCCGCACTTCGCGAGTCCGAAATCCGAGACTTTGATGTCTGTGTTGCTGACCTCCCACAGGGATTGGTGACGCAGGGGCTCGAACACAAAAGCATTTTTCACGGCCAAGCGAACTTGCCTTGCTGACCAGGAGGATGTTCTCCTCGGTGAAACGACGGCTCTGAATTAACACAAAAGGGGCAAAGTTTCGGATTGTGGGCTCGCCAAACTCAGCCAGTTCCTTCATCCCGCGACCACCTTAGGCTATGTGGCTATTCGGCTGCATTCTGAAACATGCACCGTACCCGGTATCACCCCGTGGCTTCCCGCGCCGAGCCCGCGATACAAAGCCCATGCCACAAACATCCAATTGCATCTTTCCTTGCTCATTAACCTGAAGTGCGGCAACACTCTACAGTACCTACTGTGAACGTGGCTGATGTTCTCTGCGAGGCAGAGAGACTCTGCAAGAATCGCAGTGACATGCCCCTGTTGCACTTCTCGTCACTTGTTGAGGGCTTGGGGGGTCTGGAAGTTTGGCTTTCGCTGAAGCTTGTCGCAACCTTCGTCCGACAGCTTTGCCTTCAGCCAAACTTGACTTCTTGGCACCCTGCGGGCTTTAGATCCCGGTGCATGATGCCCTTGCTGTGGATGAACTCCACTGCCTGCGTCACGTAACTGATCATAACTGGATGTGAAGCTTCTGTGTCTGAGACACCCTCCGAAGAATGCGGACGGTCAGGTCAGTTAGGTTCAAAGCCCGGAGCTGCCAACATCCGTGAGATGCTCTTGTTGAAATGGAACGGCTTCGAAGCTGCAGCTCTCAATCCGCCAGCCGTGGCCTCGAAATACGCGACTTCAGCGAACCCGTAAAAGACTCATCAACAACCAAAACCATACGTCTACCGCACCAAGCCAAAAGTTACGTTTGCGAGCCGACATGCCCATGCCTCTAAGAGATTCTTCACCAGCAGTTTGGTATCCGCTTCCTGCCAGATGGCACAATTGTCCCGTAGAGGAAGCTTCAGAGTGGCTAGTGGGCTAATCCTGTCGGATTCAGCGCCTCGGACCACCAATGAAAATAACCAACCGAAACAAGACAAGCAGAATCTACCCATCGCCCAAGGGCAACTAGGACGGGCAGGCCGAGTAGAAGCGCTTCTGCTGAATGCGATCGTACCTCGACGAGCGGACATCAACTTTGATTCCCTGCGCTTCAGGAGGTTGTGGGCATGGTGGAGGAGCTTTGGCAGCTGGAGCCTATGGTAAGTGTACACCGAACCTAGTTTTTGCGTGCTAGGTCGAAGTTGACAGAGGATATGACTTCAACACATGTTAGCATTCTGCTTAAGGAAAGGTTGTGGGACAGGTCATCTGGATGTACAGTCCTTCTAACCCCAACATCAGTACGGCAATCCTTTGTTATCAAAAAGTAAACCCCAGACCGTGGCGTCAGACACCCAAACTCCTGGAAAGCTTCGGACACTACGAGAACCCGACGGCATGCTTGGCACAAGCCAACAAGGCTCGGACATGTACTTCTGACCAGCTAGCGATGGTAAGCCAAACATGCATTGGCACAGCAACTGCCCAGAGAAAAAAAGGCATTGCGCTCCCCAGTGCTCGTTTTGGCCAAGCTGCAACTCGCCACCTTCGCAAAGCTCCAAGACCTTGCTGGAGCGTCGTATGCTCTCGGGAGCTAAATCTTCCAGGCTTGTCACTGATTCGGGTTTCGTGCCTGAGATGTGCACAGAGGCCCTTCGAAACTACCACGATTCGAAGTGCAACAGCTACACGACTTGAGACATTGGCAAAACTAAACTGAAAGTCACACCGCGGTTGATGAAGTCGTGGGGAATCAATACAAATCCTCTGGTGGCTGGGAAACTGAAGGTGGCCTGCCAGGTTTTGGGAAGATGAAACAAAAACTCCATACAAGATTGGCTCGGTGTTTGGAGCTCCATAAAAATACATATGCGTTCTAGATCATGAGGGTTCTAGTAGGTATGAATGGTCCCGTACTCATGTGCACCGGACTGCTTTCAGAACCAGGCATACAATGGCAGAAAATCCCAGAGGCTTGGCTCCGTGCCAATCGGATGGTGTTGGGGGTGGACTCGTCCATGTCGATGAGCCGGATGATGCTCGAGTGATGGTTGATGGCCTTTGTTGACATAGGTACAGGTCGATAACGGCAAGGGGTTTCACACAAGACCACATGCAGAAGTAGGGTAGGGAGGCTTGGCACAGCCAGCTCGTCCTCAAACAAGCTTTGGCACCATGAATATGCAGCAACACTGAACGTTGCCTCAAACCTGAACTTTGGTTGGATGACGACAGAGCTGTTTTTACCCTTGCTGAGATGGTGAGGATGCTCTCAAAAGGCAGTTCGGAGCTGAGCAGTCAAGAGCCAGCAATCCCCCACTGCCAGTTTAGGCCTTCATGATGGCAATCTCCTCCACGATGCGGCTATATGAGGCCTTCAGGAGAAGGGTTGAAGGGAGCCCTTCTGCTTTCTCCGAACCTCATGCTCCGGTTGCTAGACTTCTTTATCTGCCGTCGGACTTTCGGGCACCCCCGGCATGTTCCAATTTTGAGGGTTTAGGGCTTCGGAAAGTAAACAGCTAGGTTTCGTGGGCACAAGCGAGGCCCATGACCTATGTCCTCAAGCGGAGGAAGCATGCACGGCGATGCCTTGTCACCGGTGTAAGTTGAAATCGCCTGCACCATGCGGGCGGTTGATTTTGAGACTTGGCAGACTTGCACAGTCTAACTTGTAATCCCTGCAGCACTAACACGAGCCATAAACCACCGTCTATCATAATCAAAAGTATACGGTTGTTCACTCTGTGCCCAGTGCTATGACGGTGCAAACATCCGCCACTGCCAACAAAGGAGGTTTCGGGGATTGCATGGCATACAGATACTGCTTCCTTAGCACCTCATGACCTAGTGGCCTAGTGGCACACACTAGCACACACGGGTTGTCCTGACGATGCTGCCCACAATCCCTAAACCCCTCACATACTTTGGGTCAGGCAGCCTTCAGAGCATAGCGCTGGTCAGGATTTTCTCGATACGTGCACATGTACACGGTCGAGAACTTCCCCGTCCCGAGGACATTGTCCTGTAGGGCTTTTGGCTTGAGGGTGGGGCCACCAGGCTTTGAGGTTCAGACCTTAGGTTGTTGAGTGTTGGGCAGTTGTTGGATGCCAAACGCCGCGAGATCTAGCATTTAGGACTTTGACGCCCCAGCCGAAGCTCAAGCCAGGTTTTTTGGTTTGTTCAGGTTCGGGCGCTATGTTCATGTCATGGACAACGAAAAGAACAAAAGACTTCGAGAACAAATTGGCTTTGCGCCTTTCTCGGATCAAGGCCTTGACTCTCTGGTGACGGCGAAATCGGAGATTGTGGTTGCTTGAATAGTGTCCGTCCTGTGCTCTGCTAGCTACCCTTTTCGGAACTCTCACTTCTGCAGTGACAGGAAAAGCCGGAAGGCTGCAAATTGGGTTCACCAACCCTCACAGAAGCTTTGCAGCACCACGCGGCTCCTCATCAACATCGAAGCGTGAATCGAAGCTGAGGCTTTGCGGAGCCAGCCGAAGCCAATCGACATCTGTCCTCGCGCAAGGTGCTCCTCTTAGATACGAACGACACGCCGGGCCGTACATGTGCCAAAGACTCCAGATCTCCAAATCCCATGCACGTCACACTGCCGGACCCAATGCGACATGCTTGCATATGCTTACATACATGTACTACGACGTCGTGACTTGGTGGGTTCCAGCTTGGTTCCTGCGTTCAGCACCTCGTGTCAGGTAGCACAGGGAATCCGGGTCAAAGAAAACTCCAGGCGAGCTAATTGTCCGATAGCGCTGGTGTTCTGAATCTTGAAAGGCATAAATGCAAAGATCCACTGCGAACTAGCGGCTGCACCGGGCAAAGGAAGCTGTTGCCCATGGCTTCGCCCAGGGATCCTAAGACCCTAGTGAACGGTTGCTACATGGCCTGGCCTCATCGAAGAGCCCTTGAAACTAAGAACAATCTTGATTACAAGCGGCATAGCTGTGACCCTCGCCCAAGATCCCATAGGACCCGATCCACAGAATGCTGCGATGTAGCTGATGCTTAAGGTGCGATGTGGGCCGACGATTCTTGGCTGGTGGTCACTGCTGGTACATATCTGGTGTCACTATAGCTGCTGCTCTGTGGCTTTGTGGTGTCTTCAGCAGATGTGGCCCCTCCATCGTCAACATAGCTTGAACAGATGCACAGGGATGCCTTTCCCTTGCTCATCAGGCCCTGAACCTTGGGGCAGTGCCTGAACAGTAGTAGTCGTCGTGGTCGTCGTGGCACAGCAGCAGCAACCGAGTGGCGATTGTGGTGATGGCGGAAGTGGTGCTGCTCTGGGAGGAAATGTCGCAGTGGCAGACGCGACGAGCTGCGTGGCGGTGGCAATAACAGCATCTGCAGTGGCTGGGATGGTGGAGTCGATTCTACTCAGCCCTTTACAACTCAAAGTGCATCCACAGGCCTAAATTGCCTCGTGTTGCGAACCTTCTACTTTCCTTCAACCGCTCAAGCCGGGCAGTGCAGGACACTGCATTTTCTGGGACCATTGGCACATGGGGGGCATCATCTGAAAAGTGGATCGGAAGCGTCTTGCAGAAGAAACCTTCTCGAACCAACAAATTAATCCTGAATCAGAACAACCCCCAACGTGAAGCTGTCTTCTGCGTTGGCAGCTCTCAAAATCCTCAGCGAGCACACATCCTCGATGAGTAGGCGCACTGCACAGCAAACTAACACACATAATTGAAAAACAGAAGACCGTTCTTCCCGGATCTGTGACGGCAGCGCTTAGCCCGGATTCTGAGGAGCCTTTGCATGAGCCAGGGGCAGCCAGGGAGCATGGGAAGTCGCAAAGCTAACTAAATCGCAATTAGCATGGCTTCGACGTGTGACTGCTGTTTATTTTACGGGGTTGATGCTGAAGCTCGTAGTCCTTGCTATCTTATTCTCATCCTGACGCACGATGAACAAGGGCGTGTGTGTGTGTGTGTATGCATGTATGTGTATTTACGGTCGTATGTGTGTATATATACACACACACGCACGTCGTGGACGTACATACACATACACATACACATGAACATACACAT